AGAATACAACTAACTTCTATTCCACTCATATCTAGTGCAATTACTACATAACAAAACACATAATTTCCCACAAGTAAAATCCCAAAGAGCCACAATTGAAACATGTGGGAATGAACCAAGAACACCCAACTCAAGAAACTCTCTTCTTGAAACTTAAATAAAAATTGACATCATAAGTGGAAGAAAAAATGGAGCACAAGAAAACAACACAGTTCAAGACATGTCAGTGTCTGGAATTTTTACTTGAAACAGGTAAAAGTCCATTCAAAGAAGGTGAGAAGGGGAAAGGGGAAGTTATAAGCAATAAGTAAAAGAGGAAGAGAGTGCAGACCTGAAGTTCTCTCACCATACTATTGTTAGTAGTGTTTATACTACCATTACTACTGCTGCAATGTCTCCCAAGCTCAAGCATTTTTTCCCCTCTTTTTTTTCAAAGTTTCTTTCCCTACCCAGTTTTTGCAGTGGCACTCTTATGACTTCAAAGTTCAAACATTAAACTCAAAAAAAAAAAACAAAGAACTTCGAGAGAAGCAAAATAGAGCAAGCATTTAATAGTTGAATTGAATTTGTCTTTCATTTCCGTCCTGTCTGAAAGATTTGAAGCTTCTTCTCCAAAATCAGAATTGAACCCACAATTCCATTAACTACAAAAGAATTCTTTTTTTCTATTTAAACGTTGAAATTCGACAGTACAAAAAAATGTTGAAAATTCGAAGAGTGGGGATTTGGTTTGGTACAGAAAGGACAAGTAGAGTAAAGGGAGGAAGGGGGAGGGAAATTATTAAGTGCGGCTTTTTGGGGCTCGCGGGAGGAGGCTAAAATGCACCAGTGCACCCAGATGTGCGCATGTTAAGGCGGCTTATTTGTGGTTGTTGGCTTTGGCTGGCGGGTCCCCTCTCTCTCTCGGACGGTAGCTACAAGCGACGCTTCACCAGAAGAAGAGTGAGACTTGCAACCATAGAGAGTCTCTTCTCTTGTTTTTACTACTCCCTTCTTCTAAAAATATACTCTGTAAGCACCATTTCGAATGATGTCTAAAATATATTCCTTTCGTTCCAAAAAAATTTACATATTTTAAAAAATTTGCGTCCTACAATCTCCTACCCATTTATATTAAAAAACCACTTTTATCCCTTACTTTTTCAAACTCTACCTATCACATCATACCTTTTTCTTAATAATCTACACATCACATCCTACTTTTACCCATCAAATCAAGGGTATTTTTGGAAAGTCAACACAAAATTATCCCTCCCTTAATTTCAACTTTAGTCAAAATGTGTAAATTTTTTTAGGACGGAGGTAGTATTTCTTTTAAAATAAATTTATTTACAAATTGATAGAAAAATAAAAAGTAAAAATTATATCGTTTAAATCTAGATAAAAAAATTCTACAAGATAATATGCGACAAGAATATTTAATTTAATCAAATGGTCAAACAAAACAAAAGTTATTGAGAGACAAAATAGTAGAGGTGGGCACGGGCCGGTCCGAGACAAGATTTGTATAAACCGGACTCGACTTATTTTTTTAAAACGATCCGGGCCGGAACGGGTTTTTAAAATTTTAAAATTGAAACCGGACCTAACCCGGCTTGTTTGAAACGGGTCGATTCTACGGGTTAACGGGTCTGAACCTATCATGATACTAATATTAAAAAAATAAAGGGATAATAAATTAATTTAAGTCATCCAACATAAAAAAGTGGCATAAATGAAAATAAAACAATGACAAAGAGGGGCATGAGACTAAAGTGTATACCTCATGATCATCCAACAACAATAATAAAAAAAAGACAACTATTTTGGCATTATAATGTCAATGGGTTCCAAAAAGAACAAAATTCACAATCTTCATGGGTTCCAAGTCTCTGACAAGGAAAGGTTTTCTTACTTTTCTGCCTAAGATTAGAAGGACCGAGTAAGAAAGTGCATGTTTTAATAAGAGCATGTTTTAATAAGAGCATGTTTTATTAAAATAAAATAAAAATAAAGTGATCCGATTAATTGAGGACGGGGAGTAAGAAAGTGCATGTTTTAATAAGAGCATCATTAATCATTCTTCTCTATTTTCCTCCCACATCATATACTTTCATGTCATTTTATCTTTCAACTTTTCTACCATATTCTAATCATCCATCTCTGAGAATAATTTTTTCCTCTATTCTTATCTCTCTTCTATTCCACTAATCTCGCTAATCCCAATTAAGAAAACACCCTACGTAGCACTCTCTCAATACTGCGCATATAGCTAATCTTTTATACGAATTTAGCTATTTATAGTGTCAATATCTTCCAAACATACCCCCTACCATTTATTATATTGTACTATTTTTAATTACTTTTAATTATTTGATTGAACTTAGGTTATTCAAGTAGCCACTCTTCCTCGTACGTGCGGCTCCTCTTCATTCGTGCCTCTCATATGTACGAGAACATCATCCTACACTGTTTACATAGCTCTGCGGGATCCTCCTACGCAGTTTACGAATCTATAATGTCTAAACAAGTTCGTACGTAATAAATTAACTTCCATATTTAACGCTCATGTTTGGCTAGTTTGTTTTGGTGTAATAGATTATTCATGAAATCAATCATACATTTTTGGATAGTGTGGAATTCATACATGAAAACAGTCATATAAATTTTTGGAAGTGTGGAATTCATACATGAAAGCAGTGTGGAATTCATACATAAAAAGAGCTATACATTTTTTGGACAGTGTAGAATTGATACATGAAAATAATCACACACTTTTTGACAGTGTGGAATTTATACATGAAAACACTGCCCCATAAATCAATGGACATTACACTGCAATATGAAATTAAGGAACACAATAATACACTAACACACTTTTGTAAGATATAACAACATATTTTACAGTGCCACATTAAATACTCACATATAAAAAACCACACTGCCCACTACACAGTTACAAGTGAACAAAAAACTAAGGCAAAGAGCCGAGGTTTGCATATTATACATCGACAAATTACTGGCTTATGATTGGAAAATCCATATCACTTCCTCGTTTGGATCGAGACCGGACGAAGGAACGTTAAATCAAAGGGGTTCATATTAAAAATAAAAATAAGTACTAGAATAATTTTTTTAAGAAATAAGGAGAGAGGGATTTGTATTTGTAGTGTCAGTGTGTTGAATTTTTAAAAACTGGATTGAATATATGGAGGAGAGATTTTTTTTTCCGAAGGGGTGTGGGGGGCTCCAGCAGCCGAATTTTGGCTTGCAATTCGCGTAAAAATTTGACGCTGCAAAAATGACGGTGCGATAACGAGAAAGCAACGGTCTTTAATGCCCTTATCACCAAAACCAGCTTAATGTCGATGGGCGTGAGTGGTGCTCTAACAATAATGTAGCTTTAGTGTACACTATTTTATATCCATTATAAATAAAAACAATTATTTTAGAATTGAAGACATGGGTGAACTTCTCCCCTGGCTTGAGTGGTAGCAAGCCCACTCCCAGGATTCATGGGGAAGTTCACCCAGGTTCGAGGCCCAGCGAAGACAGCAGCATTGACTCTTTGTGCGTCATTAGTCATTAACTTGAGAATAGTATGAACAGATACTACCTTGTAATAGAGTCAATAGCATTCAAAAAAAAGACATGGGTGGTGTATATATCACGACCTTATCTCAAAAGATATTTGTGGTTGATCAGTTGATGCTTCATCTGTTAGGTCAGTCCAAAGCAATATGATGTCAACTTTAGCAAATTGGTGATTGATTTAAATTAGGCAACAGTATGCGATTATGCTAAACACTGAAGGCAATTAAATTGATTAATTATTTTCATTTATTTCAAATTGATTGGTCTATTCATCTTAAAATTAAAGAAAACATCAAATGATATCGATTTAAAATGATATCGTCTTATTGGTAAGTCTAAAATGACATTAGTGCTACTGGTGTCATTTGCTTACACATATTCGTTTGGGGTACCTGCTGTGCCCCGTTTGTAAAAATGACGGTTCCTACCCCCCTAACCCTTCCCTTAAACCCACCACCCCAGCCCCACCCTTGCCCCCCTATCCCAGCCCCCCCTCCCGCCCCCTCCCTACCGTGGCAGTGACATGTAGTTTTTTTATATGTAAATTTCATTTTATATTTCTTACGAATATGTAAATAAAATGAATTGAAAAAACTTACTCCCTCCATCCCAAAAAGTCTTTCCTGTTTCATTTTTTGCGCATCCCATAAAACACTTCTACCGACATCTAAAATGCCTAAAATTTACAACATTTCTTCTTTATTGTGGGTAGAAGTTATTTCAAAAGTTTTTTTGGCATTCAAGGCGGGATATAAGTGTTTTATGAGACGCGCAAAATATGAAACAGGAAAGACTTTTTGAGACGGAGGGAGTAATATTTTGCCTCAGGAATATTAATGTGGCAAATATTTAGGGAGAATATGTGCTCCCTATTTTGCAGAGAATATGAAATGAAAACTTATGGGTCGTATCATATGTCATATCATCTCTTATAGTCATTTGAAGTTTTGAACAATAGGACATGGAGATTAATACGGAGTCGTAAAAGTTTAAGATACGGAGCAATATCTTCCACTTTGGTCCAAAATTTTTAATTTGTCTTTTCATAATGTAAGTTTTTAGGATGAGAAATTAATCCTTTAATAACATCATTGGTGTTGGTTAGGAGGTTTAATGTTTTTAAAAAATTATTCCGTATTAAAAATGTTAGTGTTAATTGGAATTTTTTTTCCAAATAATGATAAATGTATTCTAAGATAAAATTTAAACATGAGAGATTTAACTAAATAAGAAATGCTTTGAATATTGACATTCGGATGACCTATGTTGTCATTTAGGGGAGAAACAATTTTCCAAGGTTTTTTGTATGGTTCCCTTAATAATCCATGGGCATGGATGCCCATCCATCTAAAAATTGACATGTGGATATGTAGATTTATGTTAACTTTATTGCCATATAGATTAATAAAGATTCCTTATTAATTTAAGTTTCAAAAATTAAAATATATATGGTTCTTTTTGGATTCGATCCTCGTAAGAGAGGTAAGCCGTGACAAAATCTTGATATGGTTCTTGGTCAAATGAGGTACATATCACGATTTACCTTTTCACGAACCCTAAGGCAAGTGTGTGGGAGATCCCTAGAGTAGGGTTCTCCTGTTTACATTAGTGTTTAGTCAAATTTGCCACGGATGGTACCAAAACTTGGTGCCTTTTCCCTTATAGTACCACTTGTTTTTTTCCATAAATGGAACAAATATTGACCTGATCTCCCTGTTTTACCCTCTCTTATTTACGTCTAAATTTCATCTTCTTCTCAGATTCAATTTTGCACCGCGCGCTCATCTTATTCATCTTTCTGCAAATCGATCATAGTCTCCTCTCTCAAATCCATGTCTGCTCAACCTCCTTCGTATCATATATTACTGAATGTTGATATATAGCGAATGGAGCGATGATTCCTCCTTTCATTCTAAACGTAACTGTGAGTTGTTCATCCATTCTAAAAATTCATTCACAGACCTAATGAACGCTGCTCGTGTAGCGATTGGTGATGATTGTGCGCAATATGATTTTCAATTTTCAAATTTGTTGCCATTTTGCCCTCCCCCTATTTTTATTAATGATGATTCCAGTTTTCGATTTTACTTGCAACTGAAATCCTTTTATAGAGATGCTTTAATGTTGCCATTATGTGTTCAATTCTTCCCCAATTTGCTCAACGCGACATGGAATCCTCAACGCGACAACGCGTCAATGTCTTTGAATTTCAGTTCAAATGACATTAATTCAATGCCTACTGGTGACATTGCACTTGCCAATCATGTAAACACTTTTTCATTAATGTCTGAATCTGGTCTCCAACCTCCATCGTCAATGTCTTTGAATTTTAGTTCAGATGACAATAATTCAATGCCTACTGGGGAGAATGCACTTGTCAATCATGTAAACACTGTTTCATTAATGTCTGAATCTGGTCTCCAGTCTCCATGGTCAATGTCTTTGAATTTTAGTTCAAATGAAAAATAATTCAATGCCCACTGAGAATAATGTAGTAGGCAATGAAGAGAATATTTTCTCATTTATTGATGAATATCAGCTTCTAGTTCATCCTCCATCTGGTCTTCAACCTGCACCTGCATCTACTAGTTCCACCTCATCATCAATGTCGTTTACTATGGAGGGGACAAGTTATGATTCAGAAGACAATAATTATTCCAGTCACCATGATGTTAATGGTTATGAACCACCTTTGAGGGATGTCATTAACACTCGTCCAGTGACATCTGATGAAGTATTGTATATGTCCCCAGATTTTGAGATCTTATCCCATTCCAACCCCACCACAATAGTTGTTGATGCAATATATGAGAGCAAGAAAGTGCTAGATTACCACACAAAATGTTGGCTATTAGCAACTATTTTCAATATAGAACGAGGAAATCCACAAAGAAAGTTTTACATGTTTTATGTGTATCAATAGCAGTTGCAAGTGGGCTGTCAGAGCTGTTAGTTCGCATTCCACGCGGTGAAATGTTTCAGATTCGCGGGTAGCATTTCTACTCATTACTCCCTCCATCCTAGAGTATTTGTCCACTTTCATTTTTGCACACCATCCAATGCACTTCTTTAATCCATTTTATCTTGTAATTTGTATATTGCAAAATTATAGAAATTATATATTAATAATCTATATGTTAAGACAAATCAAAGAAGATCACACATGACTATATTTAGGCTTACACATTGAGAGAATTTGATGAGTCAAAGTGTTTAGATGAACAGTTTCAAAAGTCAAAAGTGGACGAATATAGTGGAACGGAGGTAGTATATTGCTAAGTGTTCTTAGACTTTCACCGCTTTTGTTGGCCAAAGCTTTTGTGCCAGTGGTGTTTAAACTGTTATAAGACATTTGTATTTATGTATTTTAAGTATTTACACTACAATGCACCTGTTTTGTCATCATCTGAAGCAAGTATATTCTCCCAAGTATGACTTTGAACATCAATGTCTTGTTGATGTTAGATAGGGTTAGACTTGCAAGGCTACTTCTTTAGTTGTTGCTAACCTTATCAAGCACCAGTTCAATGATGCGACACAGAAGCCGTATCCTCCTAAGTTCATAATATCATACATGCGTAGGGACCATGGGATTTTTATTAATTATAAGAAAGCATGATTTGCGAAAGAAAAGGCTTTGAAATTAAGTTTTGGATCAGATGAAGAGTCATATGCAATGCTGCCATTTATGTGTTATATGCTAAAAAAATCAAATTCAGGTTCCACCATTGTGCTTAACACATTTGATAATAGGTTCTTTAAGATGAATGGGCTCACTGCATTCTGGTTTTGATTATTGATGGGTCATTCATGAAATCATATTATAAAGGTACGCTGTTAACAACTGTTGCACAGGATGGGAACAAACAAAGATTCCCACTGGCCTTTGCCATTTGTGATGTTGAAGACACTACGAATTGGAACTGGTTTTTAAAAAAGGTTAAAGAGGTCCTTGTAGCTCAAGAAGTGAAGTATATTGTGTCTAACCACCATGATGGCATGTTGTGCTGTCTGTTTTCCCAAACGTTATGCATGGACATTGTATATATCACATTCTTGGTAACGTTAAGACATTATTCCGTGGCTCTGCAAAAGCTGTTACATGGAAGTTTATTCGTGCGGTAAAGGCTGCAACTGTTCGTGAACGGAATTGGTATATGAAATTGTTAGATGAGGAGGATCCAGCCATTCAGCCATATCCAGGACGCATTGAATTTTCGATGTGGTCTCGGGAAGAATCAGCAAACAATCGATACTCAATCATGACATCAAACAGCGCTGAGTCAATGAATAGTGTTGATGCTACAGCCCGTGAGTATCCCATTGCACAACTTATTGATTTCATAATTGCAAGGATGCAAAAATGGTTTCATGAACGGAGAACATTGGCTAATTCTATGTCATCCATTCTGACAAGGCATTATGAAGCAAAGTTGAATAAGCTACATATATGCTTTGTCTACAATCATGAGTGTACGTCTCACAAGGCATTATATTCACATTCTTGTGTCTTTTTCATTTATTTTATTCTACTGCCACAATGCATTTTCTTATGACTATATGTTTTTCATACTATGACTATCAAGAAATCTTTTTTTCAGGTTCGCCCATCGTGTGAATATGAGTTACAAGTTTTGGACACAACTGGAAGGGCTTTTGTAGTTAATCTTGGTCAAGGACTTGTACTTGTTGTGAGTTCCAGACCGATCACTTCCTATGTGTTCATGCTATTGTAGCTATTCGTACAAGCCCAAGTGTTTCATGCTATAAATTTATATCAAAATACTACACTACTTCCGAATGGATTGCAACATATGAAGGCATTATACATCCATTGGGTAGTAGAGACAGTTGGGTTGTTCTAGAAGTTGTGTCGGCTATTTTGTGTAAACCTCTCTCATGTTCTAAACGCCCACCTAGAAGACCCAAGAAGCGGCAAATTCCATCTAGGGGTGAGACTAGACTACAAGCAGACAATGTTGCTCCCGGTGTACAATGCCTGGACATAATAAAAAAACATGTACCAACCCCCGTTCTATCCGTCGCACATAAGTCTTTATGCAAGAGAATTTGTTTCTTGAATGGACCTTATGTTTCCTTCAAACTCATGAGTAATTCAAGTCCTTTTATGTTGTCTTTTTGAAATTGATCCTAATATCATGTCATTTCTCATTGAAATCTTTTCTTCAGCTCTGTTGTTTTTACTTTTCAGTTGTGTTGAATGCCATGATATTCATGTGTTTGTGTAATGGATCAATCTATTGTCCTGTAAATTCGTTAAATTATTTACTATTGTCCAAACAACAAATAACAGCAAATATAACCAAAGTCCTAAAGTATTTTCAATGATACCCCCTCCCTCTCCTGCCACTACTTCTTAGCCCGGGTTTTAGTATTGTCCTCATCATAGTAAAGAACATGAGGGGTCTGCACGGATTGCCATTCTCTAATAAAAGTATGTCATTAGTATCAACAAAAGAGAAATTTGAAGATATTCCATGTTTTAAAAGATGGCGTTTGCTTGTGCCAGGATTACAATGCCAGCTTCTTTAACATTGAATGGTTTGGGTGTGTCATTTCTTAAATCTTAATAAAAGTTATTTGTTGGAAGAAGTGATTCTGTCATTGATAAAAGTTATTATCATGTGTTTAAAGGTTACTTGTTTACTCCCCTTTTTAAAAACTATTCATCAAATATTGTGCCACAATTTTATTTAAAAAAAGTAATGTCATTACTGCAATCACAAACCATATAACGATTACAAGCTTCTGTCTAAAAAGTACTAATAACATGAAAAGTACTCATAGTGCACATACAACCCATAGTACAATTACTAGTTTACTACAACAACATATATACTAAAAGTAAACAGAAAAGTTACGTTTTTTAAACTTTTGGTCACATTTTCCATGTTAATGCTTAGCCTCCTATTCGGCCCTCCTGTTTGCATATAACAAAACCTCTATTACAATTTATTTCCTGAAACTCTCAATGCCTACAACATCCACTTCATCCACTCCCATCCCCATCATGAGATGCTCAGCCATCTTTACAACAAATATGCCACAGCTCACCCTGCATATTATTAAGTGCATTGGACATTATGGTGCTTTAATTAAGTATATTACATGTTATTAGGTACCTAGAAAGGACGACATTTATAACATCTACGAACTTACACGTCTTGTTGTTGTGGGCAATCATTTACGTTCATATTGCCTAGCACATCATCTCCCATCTCAGGCATTTTTCGCTCCTTGTACACTTCCAGTTTGTCCATCATCTTTGGGAGTAAGATCTGTAGACATGGAAAGTATGGTTTTGTGTGGCAACTGGTCTTCCCCTTGTTGTTAGAATCATACAGCCTGATGCATTTCCTGATATGTCAAGCACAACTAGTGTCCAATGGTTTCTAGTGTTTATTGACATGTAAACGTAATCGCATTGTTCCCAGCATCCTCCTAATTCTAGCACAGCCCCTAGGATTGGTTTCAGTACTCAACTGTTCAAGGCTGCTTCAGCAATGGTTTTCCTTTTTCCCTAGTAGTTATCATATTCTTTCTTCAATAGACTGACAAATAGGCTGTCTATTACTGCAAATGGCCTGGTCAAGCCATATTTTTGTGCTTTCATGACCAAGATTTGAAGGCAAGAATTACATGCTGTAGTAGATAAAGCATTGTAAGTCATTAGTATATTTAAAAATCCATAACCATATATGTATAATCGTTTAATAAAATGCCTATGTTCATACTTACCACATCATCCATCCATTCGTGATGGTAGAAGAATCCATAGTACCACGTTTTTGTCATTGTTTCGTCACGCCCTCATAGTGGCCGAAATTCTTCTGGTTTTAAAGCATTTTCAAGGCTTGTGTACGTAATTTGTGCCATTCACTTTTTTTTGCTTACTTTTATCTACTACAGCAGGTAACTGTTGCCTTCAAATACCTGGTCATGAAAGCACAAGAATATGGCTTGACCAGGCCATTTGCAGTAACAGACAGCCTATTTGTCAGTCTATTGAAGAAAGAATATGATAACTACTTGGGAAAAAGGAAAACCATTGCTGAAGCAGCCTTGAACAGTTCAGTACTGAAACCAATCCTAGGGGCTGTGCAAGAATTGGGAGGTTGCTAGGCACAATGTGATTACGTTTTCATGCCAATAAACACTAGAAACCATTGGATACTGGCTGTGCTTGACATATCAGGAAATGCATCAGGCTGTATGATTCTAACCACAAGGGGAAGACCAGTCGCCACACAAAACCATACTTTCCATGTCTACGGATCTTACTGCCAAAGGTGATGGACAAACTGGAAGTGTACAAGGAGCGAAAAATGCCTGAGATGGGAGATGATGTGCTAGGCATTATGAACGTAAATGATTGCCCACAACAACAAGACGCGTAAGTTCGTAGATGTTATAAATGTCCTTTCTAGGTACCTAATAACATGTAATATACTTAAAGCACCATAATGTCCAATGCACTTAATAATATGCAAGGTGAGCCGTGGCATATTTGTTGTAAAGATGGCTGAGCATCTCATGATGGGGATGGGAGTGGATGAAGTGGATGTTGTAGGCATTGAGAGTTTCAGGAAATAAATTGCAACAGAGGTTTTGTTGAATGCAAACAGGAGGGCCGAACAGGAGGCTGATCATTAGCATGGAAAATGTGACCAAGTTTAAAAAACTTTTCTATTTACTTTTAGTATGTTGTTGTAGTAATTGCACTATGGGTTGTAAGTGCACTATGAGTACTTTTCATGTTATTAGTACTTTTTAGACAGAAGCTTGTAATCGCAATATTGTTTGTGGTTGCAGTAATGACATTACCTTTTTTAAATAAAATTGTGGCACAATATTTGATGAATAGTTTTAAAAAAGAGGAGTAAACAAGTAACCTTTAAACACATGTGAATAAGTTTTATCAATGATAGAATCACTTATTCCAACAAATAACTTTTATTAAATGTCAAAGAAATGACACACCCAAGCCATTCAATGTCAAAGAAGCTGGCATTGTAATCTTGGCACGAGCAAACGCCATCTTTTAAAACATGGAATATCTTCAAATTTCTCTTTTGTTGATACTAATGACATGCTTTTATTAGAGAATAGCAATCCCTGCAGACCCCTCATGTTCTTGACTATGATGAGGACAATACTAAAACCCGGGCTAAGAAGCAGTGGCAGGAGAGGGAGTGGGGTATCATTGAAAATACTTTAGGACTTTGGTTATATTTGCTGTTATTTGTTGTCTTGACAATTCATGGCATTCACACACAACTGAAAAGTAAAAACAACAGAGCTGAAGAAAAGAGTTGAATGAGAAATGACATGATATTAGGATCAATTTCAAAAAGACAATACAAAAGGACTTGAATTGTTCATGAATTGGAAGGAAACATAAGGTCCATTCCAGAAACAAATTCTCTTATATAAAGACTTATGTGCGACGGATAGAAAGGGGGTTGGTACAGGTTTTTTTATTATGTCCAGGCATTGTGTACCGGGAGCAACATTGTCTGCTCGTAGTCTCACCCCTGGATGGAATTTGCTACTTCTTGGGTCTTCTAGGTGGGCATTTAGAACATGAGGGAGATTTACACAAAATAGCCGACACAACCTCTAGAACAACCCAACTGTCTCTACTACCCAATGGATGTATAATGCCTTCATATGTTGCAATCCACTTGGAAGTCGTGTAGTATTTTGATATAAATTCATAGCATGAAACACTTGGGCGTGTACGAATAGCTGCAACAGCATGAATACATAGGAAGTGATCGGTCTGGAACTCACAACAAGTACATGTCCTTGACCAAAGATTAACTACAAAAGCCCTTCTAGTTGTGTCCAAAACCTAGAACTCATATTCATGTAGCTTTGCATTATATGTGTTAGCTTTGCATTATATGTGTTAGTACATACCTGCTCAAGTCCTTTCTCGTCAATGACTTTATGTAATGTTCCTAAATCAACTTCAACCATGTGCATACTTTCTTGTGTCATCAAAATGCACAATTAATTATGGTAATTGTCAGGATGTTAATTGCTAAAAATTTATGTGTCAAACCTGGCAATTGTGATCAGTGTTTGCTTCAGCCAACAGCCCATTCATCCAATCAATGTCCATGTCTCCACTCTTATCTTGTTCCAAATTTTGACCTTTTCTATGAGCAGTGTGTGGTGTACAATGTAGATCAATGCCTAAATCAAAACTTGGAAACTGAGTGTCTTTCTTGCTAGACTCCTTACTTTGTGTTTTCCCCAAAATGCCAGCATTTTTCAGGTATTCATCAACCAATCCCCATTGTTTCTTGTTTTCCTTTATGAACTCTTGTATATCACTTACCATTTTTCTATTGTTCACCATGTTTGTTGCTATACTCTTCACCATTTTCTCTAACGATTTTAAATTGTTCAATGTTTCATTCTTCCATTTCTCATCCCTGGCACCATTTTTCTCCAAAATGATTTGAGGACTCTGTGCTTTTTATATCTTTTTTGGATTCATTTTTGTCTTCTGGGCTTCATTGTGTTTTGGGCATTGCTCGAGGCTTTTCCTTTTTCTGGCGTTTGCTGTAGCATGTAAAGCATCCCCATGTTCACTCAAAACAACTGTTTCTAGCATTGTCATCTTTAGTATCCGTAGAGATAGGCAGTTCCTGGCTTTTTTGAGAATGACTTGTTCTTCATCAGATTTTACCATCTCTATCCACTCAAACTGCAAATCAAAACAATGGCATATTATGATTCAATGGAAATTTAGTTTTGATAAAAAATACAATATTAGATACAAAACAGTACCCCACTCATCTCTTTTGTTTTTTTAAGTTTTACCTTTTCATTTTTGAATATTTTCTTCTCCAACAACTCTTTGGTGGTCCTCCCATCCGCTGAGTATCTCAATGCCCTTGGCCATAATGTCTTCCTTCCTTCGTCCAATACGCATTCCTTCTCTTGCATCAGTGCTGGAAATGTTTCATACACTCATATCTGTAAAGCGAAATGGAATCCAGGGAAGTTGAACCTTGGTTTCTTGCTTGTATTCATAATACAACAGCATATCCAAACATTCCCTACCAGATCTTTCTACACATCTTCTCCCCATGGATACCTATTAAACTTGGATAAATCATCGACCAAGTGGAGATACAGTCCAGGAAGTTTAATACTTGGCTAGTTACCAATTATATAGGTCTCTAACATGTATAGGAGCCCCAACTTCACTTCATTTAATGCTTCTCTATTTTTATTTCTCTTGACTCTCTCAAATTCAATCTTCACATCTTCTCTTGTCACATTGATTTGACCATTGAAATATCTATTACTTATGTCACTTGGTTCTGTATAATTCTCCATTTTTTCACTGCTTCTTCCAAACCTAAAACCACTCACATCCTGGAAGTCTTTTTTGCGAATTTAATCAGTTTGTCACCAATGGAAAATGAAATTTATTCAGAGGCACGCACTCTGTCCATCCGCTCCACATGGTTGAGTGTGAGAAGAATGGGGAGTTGGCCATTAACACATTTCAATTCTCCAATGTCTAACCAATATCCAAAAGCAGTCTCTCGAAATTCACTTAGTTCTTCTTTTAAAAGCACTTCTTTAAACTTCTTAACCCCATTACCGACATTGCAGTATGAATTTATTTTAGCTTTAGTTCTTGTATCCAGTAGGTTCAGCTTACATAGGCGTTTATAGACTTGTCACATTAAACAAAATTCTGTTCACTTCATTTGCAAAACTCAACACAAATTGCATTTGAAAGTATTCTACTTTTTCATTCAAATGCTTTAGAGGACATTAATACACCAACTGAACACAGTCCCATCATTTCAAATAAACCATGTAGACATTAGTAGGCATTATCATCATTTCATTGGATAGTAACATCCGCTGGACTTTATGCTTCTCATAAGCCCTCAAAATTTTATGTCTCAATATAAATGTCATTATATGCATTTAAATGCTTAACGAGACATTCATTCACTAACCAAAGACACAGTCTCATTATCACAATAAACCCATGTAAACCATGTAGACATTAATAGACTTTGTCCACATCATATACATCCACAGTTCAAGTGTACAGATCCCACTATCATCCCTTGGGCTTTATGTTAGGCATAATCCCTCAATATTTACTTCTATATCCATAAATATCATTATATTCATTCAAATGCCTAACAGGCATTAATACGCCAACTGAACACATAGTCTCATAATTTGTAATAAACCATGTAGACATCAGCAAACATTATTCTTATTACACACAACCATAATTGAATTGTACAAAGCACAATAACATCTGTTGGATTTATGATTCTCTTAAGCCTTCAAAACTTATATCTCAATGAAAAAACTGTAATAATTAGATATTAATAAAACCGATCAGTAGACAGTAATTAGACCAAGTAGACATTGATTGACGACATTGTATACATGCACAATTGAAAGCTCATAACTAACGAATTCAATCAACTATAACAAAATGCATGCCTTCAATCAATTTCATAAACTTCAATTTCATAAAGTAGACTTATATCTCAATTAAAATACTGTAATAATTAGATATTAATAAAACCGAGTAGACAGTAATTAGACCAAGTAGACATTAATTGACGATGTTGTAGACATGCACAATTGGAAGCTCATAACTAACGAATTCAATCAACTATAACAAAATGCACGCCTTCAATCAATTTCATAAACTTCAATTTCATAAAGTTCAATTCATGTTGATCAACTTTAAATTGTAAATTTCAGAGCTTACGAGTCCGTTAGGCATTGTCAGAAGCATATCATCGGATTCCCTCAGCACAAAACCGTTGTCTTTGCTTTCACCTTTCTTAGACGCCATTGTTACCTTCATCGAACATTGATTTACTGAAGCCATTGTTATCGCTTTCCTAGATTCTCTCTCTCTCTCTCTCGTTTTCGCTCCTATAGATCTGCATCAAGAGAAGGGGAGCCTGGATTATATTGTTTAATGCCCTGATCGATTAGCTCGCTTCTCAAGATCTCTTCGCTCGTAAATGTTTCTCAAGTTTCGAAAATTGTAGCTTGTGCATTTCTCCAAATCCAGCGGCCAAGACTATTTTAGTCATTCTAGCCATTAAAAAACGTTTATTACTAGTCCTACTTTTGGAATTTTGCATTGTTTTAGACTTTTAGTACCATATTTGGCATTTTTCCTAGTGTTTAAAGACACTGTAACCGTTTCTATTACACTATTTGTGAAAACAAATTCACAAACAGTTAGTCATCTATAATGCCAAACGTAAAAACATCAATTCAACACAATCGATCATGTGGGTTTAAAATGTTCAACTTAATGCACCGTACTAAATAACAAGGGATATGATTCCGATGATTCCACTAATGTCATATCCACTGTTTTGGAAAAAAAAGAGGTGATGAAGCATAACTCCACTAATGAGTGTAAGATACAAGTTTTGTTTAGGAGTAATAAATTATTAAAGTGGATATATTTTGAAAAATTATGAGGTCGGTACAAATACTCCCTCCCCTAAATCGTCCACTTTATTATTTAAGAATTTTGATAATTTTGCATATGCATGTTTATTTATGATTTGATAAAATAAATATGTCACTACTTATTTTGTAAAATTTTTGATGTAGCTTTTAAATGTATAATTCTATTTTTTATATCAATTTATAAATAAAATTAATTTAAAAGAAATAGAATTTACACGTCGGTTGAAATAGGACAATAATATATGATTGGAGGGAGTAATTGATTTTGCGAATATAGAGCAAAAAACAAATTATATACAAGAGACATCATATTTTTAAAATCCAAAAACGAAATTACGACAATTTATTTAAAATATCTAAGAAAAAGAGTATAAATATATGATTGATGACATGAACACGTTTAAGAGCTTGTTTTCTTCAACTTATTATTACTATTATTATGTGAAATTTGTACTGAATAGGACTAAAACATATAGAAATCACCCCTAATAGGACTAAAACATTGTGTTTATCCCTAAAATAGGAGTTCATGTTTTTTATCCCCCAACTAGGACCTCTCCCGCCATATTCTTTCTTTCTCTCCCGATTTTGCCCTCCTTTTCCTTTCCGCGTCACACTTCACAATCCTGCTCCGTCTACATTACAACTCTTTGTAATACACATTACCACATTACATACTGTGACACTTTACATTACAATGGTTTGTAATATTCATCACTACATTACAGATTATGACACTGATAATATCCACATTACATACTTTGCTGGACTATCATGAATTTTTTTAATTGCATATTAACCATTGAATATTTTTATTTTTTTGTTATGCATTTAAATCCAACATGTCCATATGAGTTTAAAGGACAAAACATGCACATGTTGTGAATTCCAACTTGATCAATTTATTTGCATTCATGCGGTGGCTGCTATTAGGATACGTCCCGGCTTATCTTGTTATGATTTTATCTCTCCTTTCTACAAAATTGAGGCGTTAGTATATATGTACATGTGCTGGTATAGTCCACCCAAACACATAGAAATCCTATTCCATGAGTGGAAGATCCAAACACTATTTGGGCATGATATCACTTTATGTTGCATTACATGACTTTTTTAGTATGATTTAATTGTGTTAAAATTGCTTGTACTAAGATGTAATGTACTTTTTAAAATGTCCTTCCTTGTTGACACTTTTATTTCATAATTTCGTTTCATCTAAATAACATTTGTCATTCAACGCTGTGTACATTGCCACAAATTGGTATATATATGACCAACTTTAGGACTCTTATAAATTGTTGTACGTGTAAATGAGAAAACTAAAATTTCATATTGTAAATGGCCACCTTATGTCAACAATAATACAACACTTAACTTTAATTGTAATATATTTATTTTATGTTTGTTAGTTAATTTTTTCGGCAGAGATGAGAGGGAGGGTAGGGTATTTTGGGGATGGCCATGCAAACTAAGTCCTATTTAGGGGATTTATGTTTTGGACTCCTATTTAGGTATATTTGATATGTTTTATGTCATAAGTCATTTCCTAATGTAGGGTTTAAAATTTTTTATTCCTTAAATAGGATTTAATAATGACTAGTGAGAAAAATAATGTTCAAGTGGTGCTGGACATTTAGTTGAATAATGACTAATAGATAATGACCAATGGTCCTACATTGAAAAATAAAAGCATATAGTCCTATATTGAGAAAGTCATTATGTTTTAGGTGTGTTTCCACGTAAAAATCCCCATGTTTATATTTTGGTGTGTTTTTTAGACTAATTTATCGTTTTTACCGGTTAAAAACGATATACCGGTCAATAATTTACACCACCATCATTTTGGCGCGGGCAAATAGCCGTGTTGCCATATTCATTCATTTTGCTCAATAAAAAATGAATCTCAAAACCAATATCCAGTTTACCAGAGTGTTCTATAAGCCATTTTTTAGTCCCCTCTGTGCAAAAATTGGATCCAAAGTGCTAATTTTGGGAGTCACCTCAACATGTCAATTGGGATGTTGAAAAGGGGGTGTTTCACTCCAAGTTGCCGTCTTTTCTAAAATTGACGGCCACCCACTCGAGATCCACCATCCTGAAAGCTATTCTTGTTGCTGCTGCTCAGAGCCGCCACCGCCGCCGCTCAAACCCGGCGCCGTCGCTGCTAAAGATCTGCCGCTACCAAAAATTGTCAAAACTGCTGCTAGAGTCTAATGATACCGGCCACCACCACCTAGCGATCCAACTTTTAGCAAAAAAAAGGGGGTTGAAAGAAATTTATGCGGCTGAGTATTCAACACCAGAGATGGAGCTTTCACTTGGTGGCAAATCGTAGCTGCCCGACAGATCTCAGTCACAAGGAATGAGAAGAGTGCCAACGGTCGTGAGGTCCGGCTTCCACAACATTGATGCCACTACGGGGATGTGCCACCATCACATCTATACTTTTACTGCCAACACATTCGGAGCCAAAGAGGTACATGCCAATGAAGAATTGAAGATTTGACAGAGTAAAGATAGGCACCACGTGAAGAATACAATGAGCAAAGTGGTGGATGCATGGTGGGGTCCATTCCCACTACATTTTGAAATACTCCAATTGAAAAAATCAAGGCAATGTTTCCATGTGATGAGGCTCACGAGCATGCAAAAACAAGTCACTCCATGGCGTAGGGAAGAATCCAAGAAGGCTCACTTATTCTCACTGCCCATCAATTATACATTTTGGTGGAGATGTGCATTGAATATTGCGGAAGAGGAAATAACTTCCCCACTTATTCCTCATTAGGGTCTACCACCAACAATTGGTGAAATGAATTCGGAGGGAAGACTGAGACACAAGCCGAGCTTGGTACGCTGGTTACAACACCGGTCTTGCTCAGTATTAAAAAAAAGGAAGACTGAGACACAGGCCCGGCCTGGCACGCTGGTTACTACACCGGTCTAGCTCAGTATAATAAAAAAATATTAAAATATGTGACACAGGCCCGGCCTGGCATGCTGGTAAATATCATTCTTGTGCGTGGGACAGGCCAAGAATGATATACACACCGGTCTTGCACATATTTTCTCGTAAGTCTGAACCCAATCGAATTGGGTACACGGGTGTCTCAGCTGAGCCCTTATCGGGGACGCCCGATTCTTCAGGCCCTTTGAACAAGGCACTCCAGAAGTGGTCTCTACATGACACGAAGATATTTGCATTAGTTAGCCGGGCTAGCATCGATTTTCAACAAAGCTGTTGCAGCGTACTCAATTCTTATTAACTAACGTCAATGTCGTCTGTATACTAATTTCGTCATGCATCGTTTACTTAATTCGTACTAACATCGGTCTCGACGAAATAACTACTTGAAGCACAGCCGCTTCATCGTACTAACTCTGGTGTCGTATAACTACTCGAAGCATCGTTGCTTAATCGAACTGACATCGCTCTTGTTACAATAATTATTCGTGCGAAGTTTAATCACTCAAACACCGAGCTCCTTGGTAAAGATAATAAAATTATTTGAGCACGGCATAGGCCGGTCAAAAAAAATGTTGTACATATTCTTTTTGCAGGAAAACCTTCTGAAATTGGAGAACTAATGAAGACTCGGAGGACTAGCAACAATATTAACCGGTCAAGAATCCAAAGTATACGAAGATCGAAGATAGCACTCGGAGGACTTGTTTACTTTTTCAAGTTGATGATTCTCACAACTTAAAAATTGGAGGACTTATTGATGGGAAATAATACGTGGCTCGGCCCACATTTCCCAATTATTTTACGAAGAACAGACAAATTGGACCTGTTTAATGCTCCCTCCGTCCCATTTTAAATTGCCTGTTTGCCTTTTTTCTCCGTCCCAAAATAAAGTGTCTGTTAGTTGTTTTCGTAAATTATTAAAAATAAAATACCTAAACTACCAGTAAAATAAGTCATTCTTTTTCACCTTATCTTCTCATTCATCATTACCCCTCTTAAAAAATAATGTCAATTTTGAAAAATCAACTCTATTTTTTATTTTCCTTAAATATGCCCAAAAATCAAAACGGGCGATTTAAATTGGAACGGAGGGAGTAAAATGGAGGAATAATAGAATATTCCTTCATAGATGCTCCAGCTACCCCTATAAAAGAAGGGCTCCCCCTCTAGGTTAAGGGGGCCAAAAAACTCCTTCCCTGCCAATTTACTCTCTCTCTAGAAACTTTAGATTAGTTTTTCTCTTTCAAGAGCTTCTAGCTCCATTAATGGCTTCTGAGCACAATTCTTGTACCGTGTACACACCTCCGATATTAATAAAAATCCCCCGTTGGCAAGGTACCGCCAAAAAAGGCCCGTGGTTTTCTCCCAATTTGGGTTTCCACGTAAAAATCTCCGTGTTTATATTTTGGTGTGTTTTTTAGACTAGTTTATCGTTTTTACCGGTTAAAAACGATATACCGGTCAATAACTTACACCATCAAGTTCAATTCTTTTATGATAGCAATGCACTAAAGTCCTTAAAATGAATATGAACTTTAAGACCACGTAAAAATTTGCCTTTCTCTCCAAAACAAAAGACGGAAAATGCATCGTTTTTGTGTGTTTTTCTCTTCTTAAATTTCATTCCTCCCTTTTTCACATCATCCTGCTACAGTGTAAATGGGGGTTAGTTGAGTTTGTTAGGGTTATTAGTTGGGGTAGCTCTTATAAATACCCACCCTATCTCTAAAAATTGTATCAATCAAGAAATGAATAACAACTTCTCCAAATCTCTATCTCTCTCGTCCTTCTCCCTCTATCTCTCTCGGTTCTTCTGTGTATTTTACAGATCTTTCAAAGCTCTCCTTCTCCGTTCCTGAGTAGGTTCCTAGGACTGTATAATTGGTATTAGAGAAGTCACGATCCTTCTTCTTCAACAAATTTGATCAATTGTTAATCAATTGATTTTATCCTGGTGCTATTCAGATTTTTTGTGTCTCTCAATTGCATGTTATATATTTTAGTGTAATTGGAAAAACTACGTCCAATGGTATCCTAATAATCATCAAAGAAGTTTGGTGGTGCGGAGTGCACGCTTCATTGAGTTTGTTACGATATAAAACCCGTTACACCGGGGGTTCCAAGGGGGCAGCGCCCCCGAGCAGGGTTCAAGGGGCGGCAGCCCCTACGGGGTCCAAGGGGCAGAGCCCCTGGCTGGGGTCCTCGAAAATTTTTTATTTTGGGCTCAGTGCTATGTTAAAAAATTCAATTAGAATTTTAATTTCGAATTTTCTTTAAAAGAAAATTCGATGGATAGGACCGAATTTTGAAGAAGAAACTTCCGCGCGAAGAGTTGCGTGCTTTGGGTAATAGCCGCGAATGGTGTCTTCTCTTTCTCACCCCTAGTCTATAAAATCCCCCTGGGCATGGTCGAATTTCGTTCGGTTTTTACATAGCAATTCTCATATTTCGTTCTTGATACTTTCGAGTTTTATCCGATTGAATTTTGGAGTGAACAACCAAAATATTCAATCTGAAAGTGTTTACACAACTCTCGATTCATCCAAGTTATCATTAATTTCCACAACATTTGGTTTGCAAATGAATTTTTATCCTGATTTGTTTTGTGCGAAGATCAGATTCCTTCTCAAACTAGACGGAAAACTCTAGTCAACACAAGATCAAAGTAACAATGGAAGAATCCATCCAGAAGATTTTTGAACAGCATCAAGAAGGGATGAACCGGCAACTGCTAGAACATCAAAGGTCAATGGATGAGCAATTTCGATCATTCACATCATTATTACACAAGCTTCAATCATCAAATGTCAGCACCAAAACAGCAGCAGGAAGCTCGCCTATGCACACCGAAGGTAGACATCCATTTTCCTTTAACCCTAGAATTGAATTGCCTTTGTTTATGGGGTAATTGATAAGTCCGTTTTGTACGCACTTATCTTCTCTTTATTTAACGTGTTGTTGTCTAATTTTGGATTAAACAAATCAATTTCTGAATAGTTTTTATAAGTTTTATTCATAATTGTAAAAGTGCACAAAAGTTATGTCTAGTTTTAAAAAGAATAAAAATTAAGTCAAAAGTGGTGCAAAAAGAGTAAAAGATTGTGCAAATGAAATGTATCGGAGCAAAGGAGAAAAAGATGGTGAAATCCATGAAGTGAGAAGTATATATTCAATTGTGGAGATGCACCCCGTCAAGAGATTTGAGGTCAAACGGATTGAAAAAGTACTAAAAGAAATTGTTTAAAAAGAAAAGGTAAAAAAAAGTTTGTTTTGATTCAAATTAATTCGTTTGACCCAAATTGGTTTGGAATTTGAAGTCGGCGCAAAAGGAAAAATTGTTCAGAATAAAATTTTGAGTAATACTGTATTTTTGGAACAATTTTCGGAAAGGATCAAAATCCGGCCAACCAGGCGCTGCCACGTGGCGCGACCTGGCTGGCCGGCCAACTACAGCAGACAGCATGTGGGGGCGTCTTGTATCAGCCGTCATCACCACTTATCAAGTTAGGACCATGCTACACTTACACCAAAAAATATACCCCATCTGTACACCACAGGTTTGCACAAACATTTCGATGGTTTACACCGACACAAGTGTTGGTGCGTTAATAAAAATTTACACGGACACAAATGTTGGTGCGTTTAACAAAAATTAGTTTTACACCAACACTTTGTGTTGGTGCAAAACTGCGGGGTACAAAATGGGATACAAACCTAGGGGTACACATAGCATAATCCATCAAGTTATCATCAATTGAACAAAAATAAAGAGAAAACAACAAAAAAAGAAAAGGGTGACGCAACTTTGATTGGAAAAAAAATATCTTCCCATTATTATTGCAGCCGGCCCAGGATTTCTCATGCCTATATAAGGCGGATAGACGAGCTTCGACAATCATCAGCTCCTTCCGGGTCTTCTAGGGCCCGGACCACCTTTCTAGCCCGTTTCCAGTTATATTTTAATATTTTTAGTTTAGTTTTGTTCCGGTTGTTCCGAAGTGGCCCCGGCTCTTGTCCCGGTTGTAAGTTTATTTTTACAACTTTTAATAAAATGTTCTTTTATTTTATGCACTGTTAATATCTAGTATGGGTTAGGGCCCGGATTAGGGTCTTGGCTAAATTTGGGCATATACTATGTATGTTTATTTAATAGTTGGAATAATTGTTCTAGAATTATTTTTATTGTTAAATTAATTAATTATGTCGAGAGAAAAATTAATTAATAATTGGAAATTAGTTTTTACCTTGTCTATGAGGATGTAAAATTAATTAAGCCAAACTTTTTAGAACGCATTAATGATGCTTTGAGAGAGGATAAGTTAATGAAATATTTGTGACAGAATTATATTTATTCTAATTATTGATTAAATATGTGACGACAGTAGTTAACCCAGATGATGCCTTGGCCCAAAATCTAGTCCTATATCCGTACTATTTATTTTCTTTTTCTCAAAAGCACACATTAGTTTAGTTTATTTTTATTATCAAATCAAAAAGAGAAGACTTTCAGACCTGTCCAAACCTTCGTCTAGTTATAAAAATTAACTAATTCCCTTCGTCCACTCCTCGAGAGACACGACACTCGGAGAAAACTAACCCTTCATTGGGAAGGTTGNACAGTAGTTAACCCAGATGATGCCTTGGCCCAAAATCTAGTCCTATATCCGTACTATTTATTTTCTTTTTCTCAAAAGCACACATTAGTTTAGTTTATTTTTATTATCAAATCAAAAAGAGAAGACTTTCAGACCTGTCCAAACCTTCGTCTAGTTATAAAAATTAACTAATTCCCTTCGTCCACTCCTCGAGAGACACGACACTCGGAGAAAACTAACCCTTCATTGGGAAGGTTGACTTACCGAAAAATTCAACAACCAAATGGTGCCGCTGCCGGGGAGTGACACGGTTTTAGTTTAATTTTTTTTATTAGCTTAGGTGAAGACCGGTTAGGTCGATCTTCTCACCTCTTTTCCACAAGCCACCCGTAGTAATCATTAAAAATGAATTTTCGAGATGACTACTACGATCCGCCTCCTTTCTACCAACCACCCAACCATCCACCATCATTTTCCCAACAGTCCAATTCCTATCCACCATCACCACCACCATATTATCCACATCAGGATTCCTATTATGATGACTACTCCGTCAATAATGGACCCGATTATTTTCCATACCATGAGGAAGCACCATACAATACCCCGTCTCGGAGGTTTGGATATTCTCCATACCAAGACAACTGTGGGGATTATTATGAACCTCATGGTGATCAAAATGATTATGACGAACAAGGGCCAATGTACGATGACCAGCTAGATCCACGTATTGAAGAAATTCTTTGGACTGAGGAAAGAATACGTAATCTTGACCTAGCATTAGTGGTGGAGTATTCATCATTTGAACCACCCTATTGTCGTGATTACTCTCTGACTTGTGAAGAGCAAATCGAAGCAAACAGAGATGCAATCCAAGCGAGAGAACGATTTCTTAAAACAGTCCAAGAAGAACGCCAACTGCTCCAAACCCAGAAGGATAACGAACAACGCGAATATTGGGAGCATATGCAAAAGATGCTGGAGGACTTTAAGAAGGCTATGGAACAACAAGAAGAGATGGAGGAAATTGTTGTTCTAGAAGAGGATGAAGAATCTGAGACAGAATCTGAAACTGAATCCAACAATGTCTTGGTTCCATCACCACTGTATATTGAAAACAAGATAACACTTGCACAAATGATTGCACGAGGTACAGTGATGATGCTCCCTGAAAGTCCAAAAAGTCAAATCGTACAAGAGGTGAAGCATACTGAGGGTCCTGTCTCGGAATCGCCTTCACCCGCTGCACCAGAAACATTGGAGGAACCTCTCCTCCTTACATGTGTTGAAGACACTTCTCTAGAGGAACCTATTCTAGAGAAATCTGAGCCCACCACCAACCCCCTTGATACAGATGAGTCTGAACAATCTATAGATGAGGAACTACCATGTGATGCTGAATCCATCCCGTCTATAGAAGTTCTTAATGCTGGAGTCTCACTTGAGGATTCGGACGAAGCCTTCTTTGACTCCCTACTTGACGGGTACGACCATTCTTACCCGAAGGAAAGTTATAGTCAAATGAGCTGGGACGAACTCTTGATGAGCGACATTGAAGACTCAGGGGGAGGACATGCCGTAATCATCGAGCCATCAACAAAGAGTCAGCCTTTTTGGGACTTGGAAAGTCAGATCCTTGCACTAAAGGCCAATGATGTGGCTACACCGAGGAGACTCCCACCACCATCCATCCTAGACGAGTCTCCTCCATTTTTCCTGTTGCCACCACGCCGCAGGAATAAGTCAAAGATCCTGGACTTTGACTGGAAAAAAATAAAACAAGGGTGGCATCAAAAGAGAGTTAAAAAGGTCAAACTTTATGACTCTCGGATCGGTAAGTCCCGTAAAAAACGGGCTAACGTCAAGCTAGTGACGTTAAAGAAGCGCTTCTTGGGAGGCAACCCAAGTGAATAAATTTTATTTTTTTCTTTTTTTCCTTTTTACGCGTTTTGTGTGTTTATGTGTGCAGGTGGAGTTTGGAATTAGGAGTGCTGGTGAACCATTTTTGACTCAACAAAAAAAAAGAGGAATGACTAACTTTTGTGCACAATTTTGTAAAAAACCTTTTTTTTTAAAAAAAAATTGAGATTATCTCTGTCCCAAACTCTTGTTTTTAACGCTTAATGACCTCGAGGGCGAGGTCAACCCTAAGTGTGGGGAGATTGGAGTTTGGTACGGAATGTTTTTATTTGTGTAGGAAAACTTTTTGGAAATATTTTTATACACTTTGTTGCATTTTGCATATTAATATTGATCTCTACACCGTGTACAGAATGACTGTCTAAGCTGGAATGGTACTTAAGTGGACACAAAGGGTGACGCCTTCGGGAGCCGAACTTGTCCCACCATTCCCACTGGGTCATTCTGTGGAAAGGTTTATTCGGGTGAGCCTAAGAGCACCTAATTGGCAGCATTCTGCCTGATCCCGAATACTCTGAATCGGTCTAGTTATCACTATTGATACTTTTAAAATTATTTTACACTTTTTACTCTTTTCATAGGTAGAATTATTTTTAAGAGCCCCCTTATGCAAATATTAGCCAAAATTTTTAATTTTTTTTCTTTAAATTGCACATGTAGTCTTTTTATTGGCTAACTTTAATAAGTTTTGTAAATAAATAAATTTGGATACTAATGTGTTGAAAATAAATCATTGATTTAGTGAATAAATATTAACTTGTAAAATACGTTAAGGTCAAACATTTGTAACTTGTCATTTAAAATGATGCTGTTTCAATACTTCAAACTGAGTATAAGCAGTATATTTTTTTTGAAAATTTGATATTTCAATGATTGCATTGTAAGTTTTGAAAAAAAAATCAAGAATCAAAAATTCAAAGAACACACTTTGGTGAGACCAAGTTTTGGAGTGAATTGAAAAGTCAAAAAGCATCTGGTTCTATGTCAGATGATGAGACGTATATTGAAGTGAGAGCCAAAAAGCATGCGATTCCATGTCGTGTGATGAGGTTTTTGAGTGAATAAAAATCCAAAAAGCTCGTGGTTTTACGTCATGAGATGAGGATCAAATTTTTTTTGCTTGTGTCAACATGACAAAGTGATGTTCTACAAAACAAATTCCAAACTTACTCTTTGCATAGAAATAAATGATATTTTCAGAAATTTTAATTTTTTTCTTCAATGTATATATTTTTGACCTTAAATTATTTTGCAATTATTACAAATCACTTACAATCCTTTTGTATTAAACTCTAGTATCCAAGTTTGTAAATAGACAACTTTTACATTTAGCCAATAAAATTAATTTATGTGCATCTTTTAGAAAAATAAATAAAAATATTTTGCTAACTTTTTTGTAAAAAGGGTGCTATTTCTAGTAGTTCTATTTTTGTAAAGATTAAATAATGTAAAAAAGTTTTGTGCAACAAATTGTTTAAAATGTGGTCAATAGTTTTTCCAAAATCTTTTTAATAAGTAGTTGATCCAAGAATTTCATTTGTTGTGGTACTCTGTTGCTTGAGGGCAAGCAACGCTTAAGTGTGGGGAATTTGATAAATTCATTTTGTACGCACTTATCTTCTCTTTATTTAACGTGTTGTTGTCTAATTTTGGATTAAACAAATCAATTTCTCAATGGTTTTTATAAGTTTTTATTCATAATTGTAAAAGTGCACAAAAGTTATGTCTAGTTTTAAAAAGAATAAAAATTGAGTCAAAAGTGGTGCAAAAAGAGTATAAGATTGTGCAAATGAAATGTATCGGAGCAAAGGAGAAAAAGATGGTGAAAATCCATGAAGTAAGAAGTATATATTCAATTGTGGAGATGCATCCCGTCAAGAGATTTGAGGTCAAACGGATTGAAAAAGTACTAAAAGAAATTGTTTAAAAAGAAAAAGTAAAAAAAAGTTTGTTTTGATTCAAATTAATTCGTCTGACCCAAATTGGTTTGGAATTTGAAGTCGGCGCAGAAGAAAAAGTTGTTCAGAATAAAATTTTGAGTAATACTGTACTTTTGGAACAATTTTCGGAAAGGATCAAAATCCGGCCAACCAGGCGCTGCCACGTGGCGCGACCTGGCTGGCCGGCCAACTACAGCAGACAGCATGTGGGGGCGTCTTGTATCAGCCGTCATCACCACTTATCAAGTTATCATCAATTGAACAAAAATAAAGAGAAAACAACAAAAAAAGAAAAGGGTGACGCAACTTTGATTGGAAAAAAAATATCTTCCCATTATTATTGCAGCCGGCCCAGGATTTCTCATGCCTATATAAGGCGGATCGACGAGCTTCGACAATCATCAGCTCCTTCCGGGTCTTCTAAGGCCCGGACCACCTTTCTAGCCCGTTTTCAGTTATATTTTAATATTTTTAGTTTAGTTTTGTTCCGGTTGTTTCGAAGTGGCCCCGGCTCTAGTCCCGGTTGTAAGTTTATTTTTACAACTTTTAATAAAATGTTCTTTTATTTTATGCACTGTTAATATCTAGTATGGGTTAGGGCCCGGATTAGGATCTTGGCTAAATTTGGGCATATACTATGTATGTTTATTTAATAGTTGGAATAATTGTTCTAGAATTATTTTTATTGTTAAATTAATTAATTATGTCGAGAGAAAAATTAATTAATAATTGGAAATTAGTTTTTACCTTGTCTATGAGGATGTAAAATTAATTAAGCCAAACTTTTTAGAACACATTAATGATGCCTTGAGAGAGGATAAGTTAATGAAATATTTGTGACAGAAATATATTTATTCTAATTATTGATTAAATATGTGACAACAGTAGTTAACCCAGATGATGCCTTGGCCCAAAATCTAGTCCTATATCCGTACTATTTATTTTCTTTTTCTCAAAAGCACACATTAGTTTAGTTTATTTTTATTATCAAATCAAAAAGAGAAGACTTTCAGACCTGTCCAAACCTTCGTCTAGTTATAAAAATTAACTAATTCCCTTCGTCCACTCCTCGAGAGACACGACACTCGGAGAAAACTAACCCTTAATTGGGAAGGTTGACTTACCGAAAAATTCAACAACCAGTAATCCAAGAGAATGGATCAAACAATGTGGAAAATGCTTCTCCCTATTTAAAATTCCTGATAATCAGAAGGTGACTTTAGCTTCAATTCATTTGGAGGGGAGGGCTAAGATATGGTTTGAAGGTTATGGGCGAGCTAGGCCTATTGTGGATTGGGAGGATTTTATTGTGGATTTGTATGCAAGATTTAAAGATGATAAACATGTATGTTCAAGATTCAGTACTGATGCCGGTCACAAATCTTTGTTGAACCATCCAGCATCCACATCTAGCCCTTTGATCACTCAGGAATCTTTTGGAAGATGGTCTGATGTACACCTGGATGGTCTGGAAACTTATCAAGGGCACACCAGCATGGTGAAGTCTTTCAGTGTTAATAATGTCTCTCTTTTTGAGTCCTCAGCTGATAACCTTGTGCAAAAGGACTCATATTTGAAGTTGGAGTTTCAGGTTTCAAGAAAAACAACACTGATTCCAGTTGACTGTTCCCATTTAGTAGAACACCTCTCGTCCGAGTCTTGTGATGATTCAGATGTGGCTAAGAGAGACAAAAGAGAAATTGTTAAGGAAAATGCTTCTGAGGAACATAAATCAATGGCTAAGCTTGAATTTGTGGCCAGGACCAATAGTGCTGAGAGCTCTCAATACTCTAACAGCAAGGTCCAGTTTCCACCACAAGGAAACCCAAGGTCTATATCTTTTGCTATAGGAGGGGAAATAATGGCAAATGGATTGGACTATTACTGTGGTATTCCATTTGAATGGGGACATAAGTGTGAGAGAAAGGGGATTCAGCCCTTTCTGGTGGAGCTTTTAGGAAAAAAAATGGTTGATCAATTTGAGATACCTGGTTGGGCAGCAAGGGCTGGCAGTGCAACATCCATTTCAATTCACACTTTACCTAGGAACAGTGGTTGCCAAATTATGAGGATGACAGGATTTGTAGGGAAAAGGGCTTTACAATTTTTGATAGATTCAGGAGGTACACACAGCTTTGGGGTTAATATGATGCCCATAAAGCTAGGTTTTTACCCTAAATTCAGTAGGGCCTTGAGAATAACAGTGACAACTAGATACAACAAACAAGGTACCTCAGTCTGTAAAAATATCATAAGAGTGCTGCAGAATGGAACCAAAGAGGCATTACCTTTACTCTTCAAACTATTAAATGAGTATGTCAGGGTCCAGGTTTTGCAAACCCCGGCTGGTCTCCCACCTAATAGAAGTACTTTTGATGCTGGAATTTCACCGAGAGAAGGAAGCCATCTAGTAACTCTCATACCTTACAAACACTCGCAAAGTGATGAAACTCATTCCCAGGAAATCTGCAAGGTAAGTGTCAACTGTTCTAGACCTCTTCAGATTTTGGACCAAATAAGAGTAAGGAGGAGAAATACTACCAGAAGACAGTGGTTAGTTCCTTGGTCAGGACAATTACAAAGGAAGAGAAAATGTAAAGGGGTATTAAGGAGGAATGTCTTTATGGATGTTATAGAAGGGTGGCTTAACTCATTGGGTAGACAAACTGAAGTTGTTAATAGATACCCTGAGACCCATTTGAGAGCCATGGGCAATGAACTCCCAAAACTAATCAAGGAGGCAACACATCCACAGTTACTCTCTTGGTTACTTGGATTAACTGCTGCAACTAGGCTTCAACCACTGGTTGTACCAGCTAGAACACAAGGGTTGATTCCATGAGAAGTAGATTGGGTATGCACATGTGTTCAGCTCATCAGTTCAACGCACCCTTTTACCACTTTAAAGGAGGTCTAAAACAGAGCGAAGCAATTGGTTGATTCTCGTGGCATTGATAAGATTTTGCAGCAGGGTCCCTTACATATTCAAGTGAGGAGTGGCCATGTGGCTTTTACAAACTATTGCTGCGAGAGGGTGCAGAGGTTCACAATGTCTCTATTGAAAGCTTTTAAAGGACCAATGCTGACTACTCCATCCAGGTTTCTATGTCAAAGGGTACAAGATGTTGCAAGGAAGTGGTGAGGATTCGGAAACCAGTTTTAGCTTTTCAACCTTGAGGACAAGGTTGTCCTAAGGGGGGTAGTATGCTACAGTGTAAATGGGGGTTTGGTGGGTTTGTTAGGGTTATTAGTTGGGGTAGCTCTTATAAATACCCACCCTATCTCTAAAAATTGTATCAATCAAGAAATGAATAACAACTTCTCCAAATCTCTATCTCTCTCGTCCTTCTCCCTCTATCTCTCTCGGTTCTTCTGTGTATTTTACAGAGCTCTCCTTCTCTGTTCTTGAGTAGCTTCCTAGGACTGTATCACATCCAAACAAACTGCTAACGAACAAAAAACAAGTAAGCACCTAAATGGAGGCCTAGGGTCATCCATATGGTCCCAAATTGCAACAAAACATACTCCGTATTATAAATCCCCAGCTTCCAATTACTAGTCCGTACAGTAGTACTATTTTCAAAGACAGTGGGACGTGAACGAACCTGATCATCAATCCCGGCCGTCCATCATCAATGGCAGTGTTGACCAAAAAGATATGTGAGGATAAAGAGTTAAAGACCACTTCAAATCAAAGGAGGGAGTGGGACCGGGTCGAAGATATGCCTCAGAACCATTCCAACCGTGTCCACAATCTGCTGCTCTTCGCATGATGTTACAAACACAACTGCCCCCACAACAATTATTGATGAGTTATTCATTAGGAGAGAAAAAAACAAAACAAGGACCAATAAGTACCTATTTGACCCTAGTTCAGTACCTACTAATGGGTGGGATAGGACATCTACTTTGGAACCAGTGGAAAAATGGAAATGGGATATGTGGGACAGGGGAATAGTTTCTTTTTAAAAGATACTTGGTCCGTCTTTAAGTGTTTGTCCACTTTTGACTTTTGGAATTATTCATCTAAGCACTTTGACTCATCGAATTCTCTCAATGTGTAAGCCTAAAAATAGTTATGTGTGATCTTGTTTGATTCGTCTTAACATATAGATTATTAATATATAATTCTTAAAATTTTTTAATATACAAATTACAAGATAAAATGGATTAAAGAAATGCATTGGATGTTGTGCAAAAATAAAAGTGGACAAATACTCAAAGACGGAGGGAGAATATCAAATGAGAAACACATCATTTTCTTGTATCATAGTCGAGATCGCCCCTCTCGGGCATTACTCACCTCCTACCCTACAGGCTTGTGAGAAGATGTAAATCATGATAACTCAACCAGTAAGTCGGTAACAAAGGATGGGGCCAGTTAGACCTGGCAAAACAAAACCGGAACCGATTACCCGAACCAAAATATCCGAAACCGAAACCGAAATGATCCGAAAAATGAAGATATGATCTATAACCGAAAACCCGAAATGATCTGAACCAAACCGAAACCGAACTAAATAATTCATATCCGATTTAAATCTGAAACCGGTAATATCCGAACCGATTAAACACGAAACCGATTAGATCCGGACCCGATAATACCCAAAACCGATAAAATTCGAAACCGATTAGATCTGAAACCGATAATATCCGAACTCGATTAGAACTAAAATCGATACATTACTTGCTCATTCCCTCATAAAATGGATTATCTTCTTGAAAAAAGTACAAATTTTTATGCCTTAAATTTATTACTCCCTCCGTCCACAAATAAACTTTACATTACGCGTTACGATGTTTGACTGAAGTTATTTTCAAATCATTTTATATGAAAAATGGTGTAGAATTGAAAAATAAAAATTACATATTAAAAAACTACATCAAAAGATCTACAAAACTAGAGGTGACATGACTATATTATTTTATCAAATTAATGACGAAAATAGGCCAACAAAGTGAATAAAGTTTGACCCTGTGAATAGTGAACGTAAAGTTTATTTGTGGACGGAGGGAGTATATGTAGAAATTAAAGATAAGTTATACATATAAATGATAACGCACAAACAAATAAAATTTTCATAATTTTTAAATAGTGAAGTGTGATATTCTTTTTGAGACGAAAGGAATATATTTATGATGAATTGTATTGAATAATTAGATTTTATCCTAATTTCATCTCATTACTATTATAAATTTTATTGATTTAAGATATAATTTGATTAGTTTCAAACCAATTCACTCAATATTAGTCAATAAAATAAAATGTTAGTGTTAGCATATTGAAAAGACTCTCTAGCGGCAGCCTTTACTGTTATCATTTTCAAATTTAATCTACACCATTACATTTAGGTGTAAAATTAATTATAATTGACTCTATTAAATTTAATTTTCTCTATTTTCAACCAAATATACTCAACAATTTCCAAATTTTGCACTCAATTGAATAAAATTCACTTAATTTCACCCAATTTTACTCAATTTTTACCAAATTCTATTCAAATGGAACATAAGACTATTTGAATTTATCTTTTATCCTTTCATTTATATACATAAGTATATTAGTAGATGTGAGAAAATTTTTATATTTCAAAACTAAATTTTAAAATCAATTTAATTATATTAAATTTATATCATAATTAAATATATACGGAGTATATGTTTTCATAATTTGTAGTCCAAATTTATAAAATATGACTAAAAAGTCAAAAGGGGAAAATTAGAAAATAATATATATCCAAAATATATTTGATCCGAAACCGAAATATATATCCGAACCGAACTAGACTCGAAACCGAAATATATCCGACTCAAATTGTATCCGAACCGAAATCTATCCGAACCGATTTATAACCGAACCGTATCTGAACCGACTCGAAACCGAACCGAACCGAAAAATGTATAGAACCAAAATCAAATCCGAACCAAAATTTAACCGATCCGAACCGAACCAAACCGATTATAACATAGAACTGAAAGATATCCGAACCGAAAAAATACAACCCGAAACCGATCAGGTTGATCCGATTGCCACCTCTAGGGCCAGTGCTTACTGCGCACAAGGAGCCCCCTCATTTTTTGAGAGGTTGCTGCTCGCACACTGTTGCTGGTGAGACTCGATCTTTGAACCCTTGTTCTAAATTCCACCTTTGAGACCAATTGATCTGCCCATCCGGGTATACACTTCATTTTCTTTTTTGAAAAAACGAAACACTTCAATTGTTGTTAATAAAAGACACCATACACCACCATACCACACACCAACATCCAATTGTTTTAAGAAAAAGACACCCGGTATAAATTGTGTGTGTTCGCCAAATTTCTTCATGAAGAAAAATTACAGCAATTACACAATATATTGCCAGTACATTTACTGCGGAAGTAATGTTCTCCTAAGAAATGATCACACGAATTAAAAGAAAATATACTGCGAGAGTAAAACCTTAAATTGGGACAAAAAGTCAGAGCCAGCCAAATTCATTCTAAAGTCTGCTAGATTTACTCTGTAATTGATACTCAAGGGGCACCGTACCCGCCTAGCCCTAAGGTATCGCACTGCTGCCTAACCACTAACCAGCCTAAAAAGACCTGATCAATCCATGCTCACCTAAATTGCAGTATGTTTCGGTACGGGTACGAAATTCACTAGAGGTGACGAATTCAGTACGAAGGGGGTAGGTTAATTTCTGTACGAAGGGTACGGTGTACAAGGTTTTCGGTTCGGTGTACCAAAAGTCAAAACCTAAGTAAACAAAAATAGATAAGATGAGCATAGGCGCATAACATTAGAAAATGCAATAGAAAAACAAAACATCAACAAAAATATTCTATTGTACTCGCTGCCTTTTTCCTCTCACATTGTCAAAGCCTTCATCATCAAGATCTTCCCAAACTAAAATATTCTAATTATTTGTTTCTTGTAATCATTTCCATTTCCATGTGGACCCAAAGATTCATTTTTTTACTTTGGGGTATGATGGAATAAAGCAAATTGACTCTTTAAATTGTTTGCGCTTTTTGCAATTGTGAAGTAATAGTTAGTCAATGCAACTTTTGACGCTCATCATGAGTCATTTGGAAACAGTTGCTCTATGTTTTAAACATAAGGGTGAGACTATGTACATCCAACCCCCCTTACCCTACTATGGGCAAGAGTCGTTGAGGCACTGGGGTGTTATTGTTGTTGTTCAATTTGTTCCTTGTAATATCATTGTGATATTTGTATTTTAAACTTATTTGAAAATGTTATTTTCAGCCTAATGACGTATATGTTCCCACTCCCATCTCAGTGCAACTTAGGCAAGTAGAACCAATTTGCATCCCTCCTACATATAACAAAGTGATAATCCCAAGTCAAAAAATTTACATTGCATTCATATCATTCCTTATATCGTAATACTTCACAGCTAATAGTCCCACAACATGTCATTTTAATTCTTTTTGAAAGAATTATGAAAGAATAATGAATTGGGAGGAAATTCTCTCTGGATTTCTTGTGTTCAATTTACAAAGTAGACATGTATATATAGGCTCTCACAGATTGAGAAACCTAATCACAAAAGGAAACGAAATCAACCCTATACAAGGAAACTACCAAAAATAATATATACACAAATATCTCCAAATATTCTACCAAATATTTTCTTTCCTTTAACACCCCCCCTCAAGTTGGAGCATGTAGTAACGAAATGCCCAACTTGGGAAGAAGAAACTCCAAACGTGACTTTCCGAGTGCCTTTGTATGAATGTCTGCAAGCTGGTGTGTAGTAGGCACATGAAGTGTACGAATCTCTCCTCGCAAGAGCTCACCACGAACGAAGTGACAATCAATCTCAATGTGCTTCGTGCGTTCGTGGAAAACCGGATTAGCAGCAATGTGAAGTGCTGCCGTGCTGTCACACCGGACCGTCATGGGGTTCTTATGCTCAACCCCTAAACACCGCAATACATTCTTCAACCACTTCAACTCACATGTAAGGACAGCCAAAGCTCTATACTCTGCTTCAGCAGACGAGCAAGCCACCGTCGACTGCTTCTTTGTTTTCCATGAGACAGGCGAGTCTCCAAGCTGCACAAACCACCCTGTAAGTGACCGCCTCGTCAAAAGACATGCTGCCCAGTCCGAATCACACCATCCTGTGAGTTGAAGACTACTCTCTGCTGACAGAAAAATGCCCTGACCCGGACATCCTTTCAAATAACGAACAACTCTAAGGGCCGCAGACCACTGATCCTCCCTTGGTTCCTTCAGAAATTGTGCTAAAGTGTGGACGGCGTAAGAAAGTTCTGGTCGTGTAACGGAGAGATAGACCAACCTTCCTACCAACCGTCGATATGGCTCTGGATCTGCAAGAAACGGGGCTTGGGAACGAGCCAAGTGATGATTTGGCTCCATCGGGGCACCCAACGGTTTGGCACCTAACAACCCTACCTCAGTGATGATATCTAAGGCGTACTTTCGCTGGCAAAGAAAAATCCCAGACGTGCTCCTCGCCACCTCAATGCCAAGAAAGTATTTCAGTGTTCCCAAGTCTTTCATATGAAAACAATCTCCGAGATAAGCTTTGAACTTGCTTACCATCTCTGTATTATCTCCAGCAATAATTAAATCGTCAACATAAACCAAAACATGTATGACTCCTTTCTTTCCAACGAAAGAAAATAAGGAGTAATCAGCAACGGATTGGACAAACCCATAGCGTTTCAAGGCTCCAGAAAACTTGGCAAACCAACACCTTGGCGCTTGCTTTAAGCCATACAAAGACTTCTTGAGTTTGCACACCACATTAGACGAATTTGAGAAACCAGGTGGCAATCTCATATACACCTCATCTTGAAGATCTCGTGTAGAAATGCATTGTGAACATCCATCTGATGCAATTCCCACCCCTTAACTGATGCAATTGCTAAAAGCGTTCTCACAGTGGTCAACTTGACTACAGGAGCAAATGTTTCTTTGTAGTCAAGTCCTTCAACCTGATGATTGCCAAGTATAACAAGTCTGGCCTTATATCTCTCCACACTTCCATCGGACTTGCGCTTGATCTTATATACCCATTTGCAACCAAGGGGCTTTTTATGGCATGGAGGAGAGACAAGAGACCATGTCCCATTAGCCTCCAGTGCATCTAGGAAAATGCAGGGGGTGGAACGTGGTTGAAGCTTGTGATCTGTGTGAGGACGAAGCCAGGGATACACAAGACAACCAAAAGGACGAAGGTGAACATAATCCGGAGGCCGACCATAGAGGGCTTCAAAAGGGCACTGGTTATTTAGGGTGGCTATGGGTAGGCGATTTATAAGGTAGTTGGCGGTAGCAAGGGCTTCAACCCAAAAGGAGACAGGAAGGTGGGAATCATAGAGTAAAGCAATGACAGTCTCAATGAGATGCCGATGCTTGCGTTCAGCCACACCATTCTGTTCAGGAGTGTAAGGGCAGGATGTGTGATGCAGAATCCCAAGATTTTGAAGAAAAATGCCAAAGGCTGTATTTACAAATTCTTTCCCATTATCACTTCGAAAAATCTGAATATTTGAATTAAATTGAGTTTTAACCATTTTTTCAAAACTAGTGAAAACAGAGTAGGCTTCAGATTTGTGTTTAAGAGGATAAATCCAAGTAAATTTACTAAAATCATCAACAAAGCAGATGTAGAAACGAAAACCAGATATAGATGGAACAGAGGTTGGTCCCCAAACATCAGAATGAATTAGTTGAAAAGGCGCTGTGGCCTTATGTTCAGAGAGTTCAAAGGATAAACGACAAGACTTAGACACATGACAGGACTCACAATGTAAGTGATCAGAAAATTTAAACCCTAAAGTAGACAAAATAGACTTGGCAACAGCAGGAGCCGGATGTCCAAGCCGGCGATGCCAGGTGGATGCAGTGACAGCTTGACGCACAACAGGGATAGG